TACACACACACACATATATATACACATACACACACATACACACACACACATATATAGGAGCTCTGGTAGTGTAGTGGTTACGAATCGGGCTGCGAACTGCAAGGTCCGCAGTTCGAAACTACCAGCTGCTCCGTGGGAGAAAGATGAGGCGATCTGCTCCCGTAAAGATTTACAGCCTTGGAAACCCTGTTCAGAGTCGCTATGGGTCAAAACCGACTCGACGGTACTTCACAACAACAACAATATAAAGCAGAAGAATGAAGTCATAGATCACTTAACTAATCTGATCAAGAACAAGAAGTTGCTTGGTTAAATTATTGACCAGATCATTTAAGTCATAGTTACTTTCACTAGACTAGCTAAGATAATCCATTTCTATCTCTTCTCTGTTGCCCTGAGGTCTTCTTATGGCATCCCAGAAATCATAACCACAATCAAGATAATAAATATGCCCATTAGCCCTCCTTTGTAACACATTTCACATTCTGAGCCAAGCGACCACAGATAGGGTTTCTGTCACTATTTTGTAGAGTTTTGTAAAACTGAAATTATATAGTTTGTACTCCTTTCTTTCTGGATTCTTTGACTTGGTATAACTCTAAGCAGAGTTACTCATGTTGTCACATGTATAAATGTGGTTGCTCTTATTAAGTGCCATTGAGTCACTTCTGACTCACAGTGATCCTATGTACAACAGAAAGAAACACTCTCTGGTCCTGCACCATCCTCACAATTGTTGCTGTGTTTGAGCACATTGTTGCTGTCACTGTGTTAAACTGTCTCATCTAGGATCTTACTCATCATCACTGATCCTCTACTTTACCAGGCATGATGTCCTCCTCCAGGGACTTGTCCAAAATATATGAGATGAAGTCTTACCATCCTCACTTCAAAAGGACATCCTTGCTTCCTAGAAGCTTTCTGGCAGTACTTCTCCCAAGACAAATTTATTCATTCTTCTGAATTTCATGGCATAGTCAACATTCTTTGCTGACACCATAATTGTGATTCAATGGTACCAATTCTTCTGGGGTAATTCTTATTCACTGCCTAGCTTTCACATGCTGCATATGAGGTGACTGAAAATACCATGGAGTGGGTCAGGCACACCTTACTCCTCAAAGTGACATTTTTGTGTGTCTGTTAATATTTAAAAAGTCATTTGTGGCAGATTTGCTCAATGCAATATGTTTTTTCATTTCTTAACTGCTGCTACTATGGGCATTGACTGTGGATCCAAGTAAAAGGAAATCCCAGACAACTGCAATATTTTCTCAGTTTATCGTGATGCTGCTTATTTTGTTCAGTGGGGGGATTTTTGTTTTATGTTCAGGAATAATTCATACTGAAGACTGTGGTCTTTAATCTTCCACAGTGTTTCAAGTCCTCTTGGCTTTTAGCAAGCAAGGCGATGTCATCTTCACATAGCAGGTTGTTAATGAGTCTTCCTCTAATCCTCATGTTGTGTTCTTCTTCATATAATCCAGCCTCTTGAATTATTTGTTTAGCATATAGATTGAATAAGTGTGGTGAAAAGATATAACCTTCACACACATCTTTCCAGAGTTAAACCACTCAATGTCCTGTTGTTCTGTTTGAACAGCTGTCTTTTGGTTTATGTACAGATTTGTATGAGCACAATTAAGTGTTCTGAAATTTCAATTCTTTGCAGTGTTATCCACAATTTGCTATGATCCTTTGCAGAGTCAAACTAAGAGCCGATAAACATCTTAGTTTGTTTCTTGTTTATTACTTAGTTGTTTCTCTGGTGTGACGCTGTGGGATAATGCACCGGACCACGAGGTTGGTTTGAACCACAAAGCCAGTGGTTTGAACTCACCAGCTATTCCTCCGAAACCCTATACAGGGTTGCTATGGGTTGGAACTGTGAGAAATAATTCTTGTGGGTATGGTCCATCTTCAGGAATTCCTGAAATTGCTAGACCAGGCAGATAGATTTTTGGTTTACATCCAGGTACATGTAAGCAAAGGAGCTCTGGTAGCGTAGTGGTTATGAATCGGGCTACTAATCTCATGATCAGCGGTTCGAAACTACCAGCTGTTCCACAGGAGAAAGATGAGGCTTTCTGCTCCCGTAAAGATTTATAGCCTCAGAAACCTTGTACAGGGTCACTATGAGTCAGAACCGACTCCACAGCACATAACAATAACATCATATATAAGCAGGATGAATTGGGGGAAGGGAGGAAATAAATCTGTTCTAGGACTAGGAACTTTAAATAAGAATACAGTCATTAAGACAATAGGGGAGCCATTTTGGTTTCTCTGAGGGGAGAGAAAATGGGAAGTGCCATAGAATTGCATATGGGAAACTGTAACTGGAGGAGGGGCTTTTTGAAGACAGGGGAATAAAAACTGCTTGTGGCCGGTCATGTGGCACATCTGTCTGCCTGTGTCTACTGGGTCAGGCAACCAATTTTGCAAAATCGATGAAAGAAAACCTCACTCTGGCTAAAATGAGTACAGATTGGATTACTTGAGTGTTTGTCGGTATGGACAAGGTTTCTCACAGAATCAACTTGATTGCATTTAACAACAACAGTGAAGTATTCCATTATATGGATATAGCACAAATTGTTTATCTGCTCACTTGTTGATGGACTTTTGGGATGTTGGGACATTTGTTGATGTTCAAATTTGGGGTTATTATGAATAAAGCATAAATTTACAGATGTATCTATGGCTTGGGACAGATGAATACAAATCACTTTCCAACTGAAATATCTAAACATTGAAAAAACCTGGACACATTCAGATTTAAATCATTCCAAATTTGGAATCACTTAGGTTGAATTACAAATTTCAACCTTATCTGTATGTTAAAAATACCAAACTACAACAAGGGAATTATTTGTATTCCTTAATGTTAGGTATCCAATGTTTCAATTTAGCTAGCAAGACTCTCCCAGGGAGAAAGTATGTATAAGTTGTATTTGTCTGTTTGTATTTAATCTTGAGGGAAATGACTGGGATTGTTGTAGTTATTCTTTCTATATTTGGTCTAGTTCTCAGGCACCAGATGCAAAGAGAGTGGTGATGATGACATCTAGCTGGTCCTCCTGATTGGGGCCCGTGTCAGGTCATCATGGGAAGCAGGGGGCTGACCCCTGGGCACATGATCCCTGGGCAGGGATCACGTGGAACACACATGTGAGAGAGAAGAATAGACTGTGTGCTTGAGGACAGGAGGGAGGTAGATACAAGCCAAGGAAGAGAATGCTGCTGGCAGAAGGAGGGAGTCTGGGCGCACAGACCTCTCCTGCTGAGCCTTTGGAGTGTAGCCAGACATGGAGGGATTCCCAGGGTAGGGCCCTATGCCTCTGTGGAAGTCCCTCAGGCACCTCAGTATCAGTTTGGCCAGCCTATATTTATCCCTCCCTTGCCAAACCCACTAGATTTGGGGTTCCCTTTACTGGCACCTCCACCCATTCTCATACCAGGCTCCAGCAGGAATTTAAATTCAGCCCTTGGGTCCTCACGCACATCTCCCGTCCTCTCAATGCCCAAGTCCCATGAACTCTATCTCCTTAATGATGCTTTAATCCCCCCCCGCCCCCCGATGTCTATGGACTCTTATAGTTTGACGCTGTGGGATAATACACTGGACTTCAAGATCAGTTTGAATCGCAAGGTTAGTGTTTCAAATTCAGCAGCTGCTCCTCAGAAATCCAATATAGGGTTGCTGAGTTGGAACTAACTTGATGCAGTCAACACCAACAATTCCATCACCCAATATCATTCTCATTGTCTCTTATTGATATGACTGTGTTAGCATTATCTTTATTTCCCCTCCACTCCATTTCTTTAGATACACTGTGGCCAGGGTGATCTTTCTGAACTGCAAATCTGATATGCCACTTGAATGATGCTAAAAGTTCTTTAATAATTCCTCTTTTGCTTTTAATTCAAACTTGAACTTGACTTGCAA